CTGCCTGCTCCTGTAACATAACTACCCACATGCAGGTGTCACTCCCACGGGCAGTACCGACATCCATGGCACTGGGAACCTGCACACAATCCACACGGAATCTGACACATGTATCACGCTCATGTATTTTTCCCTTTCCTACCTAGTTCATGCTCTCTGATCCAACAGACCCAAATCCAAATCTACCATGTCCAGGCTTCTCCAGCTCTTTCACCCCACATTTCAAAGCCACCATCCTGCCTTCTTTGGAGCGCTTCAAAGCTGACACAATCTCTGTAACCCGGGGAGGCAGTAATGGAAGTGTGAGCTAGCAGCACTTATTTCATGAGCTGACATTTATATTTCTGTGAAAGCCTGGAGACTATCTCTGCCAACTAGTCCTTGGAGGAACCCCATCCATGCAAATAGCACTGGTGGGCCTGAGGCTTCTGCCTGTTCTTTTTTGAAAGACTGCATTTCATTGTCCTTCCTCTTGGGATATCTCTAGCTCTCTCTTGCACTGTTTCCGCTAGCAGAAAAACATATTCTAGTAATTCCTGCCTGAAAGCAAATGGCACAATCATCTTTCATCAGGCCATCATTGTGCAATAGCCAGTAAAGCTGCTGCAGTGATGTCAGCATCCCATTGGGCACCAGTTCATGTCCCAGCTACTCCACTTCCAACCCAGCTCCCTGCTAATGCACCTGGGAAGACAGAAGATGGTCTACTGCTTGGACACGCACCACTCATGAGAGAGATCTGGATGAAGGTCCAGGCTTCAGCCTCTCCCAATGTTGGCTGCTGCAGTTATTTGGGGAGTGAATCTGTAGATGGAAGATTGAGTGCTCTTTGTGTGTGTGTGTGTGTGTGTGTGTGTGTGTGTGTATGACTCCCCCCTCTTCTACATGTATATCTGACTTGCATATAAATTTTTAAATCTTTTGAAAAAAGATACTGACCCTTGACTTTACTGAGGTAGTCAGAAACAAGACTTCCCCAAGCAGTATTGCTGTGCCACTTCTCCTAAGACTTCATTTAATTGAGAGGTAAAAACAGAGATTCTACCTGCTGCTTCACTTCTCAATTGTTCACAATGGTCAGTACTGGGATGGCCGTTGGCCAGTGCTGAAGCCAGGAGCCAGGAGCCGGGGGCCAGGAACTCAATCCACGTCACCATATGAGTGGCAGAACTCAAGTAACAAGGCATCATCATTTCCTCCCAGGGAACGGCAGGAAGTCAAAGTCAAGAGCCAGAGCCAGGACATTAACCCAGAAAATGGTGTGGAACACTGGCATCTTAATCACTAAGCTGAGCCCTTGCTCCCATTGGCTCTTCCATCCTCTCCAGATTCGTAGAGTCTTCTTGCTGAAATCACCACCAACATCAGTATTGCTTAGCAGGGGTGTCCACCATAGCTATCCTGAATGGACCTCTCAGGAACTGGGGACACAGCTGATACCCCTATTCTCCCATTCTGTTTGGTTTCTCTCCAGACCCTGGGATTTTCCTTCTTGATCTCTTTTGCTGCCATATCCTCACCTTGGAAACTCACCAAGTAGGGATCTCTCAGGCTCAGAAAGGAGCCCTATTCCTCTGGAGTCCTTGTTAGTCTGTCTGGTGGTGTGTCCAGTCCCAGATCATTGGTTACCATTGGCATGGAGATGCTCCCAGTTTGCCCACTTTGGGCTGTAGGCTGTGTTCACACACGTTCAACCACTAACTTGACACATTCACTTGGCTATCTAGAGAGACTTCAAACCCAGCATGTCTGCAGTGAAGCACTTCATTCTTGCATCCCTGAATCCTGGTCCTCCCCATTCTTCCCATTTCTGAGTCTGGCAATACTGTCCACACATATGCTGAATCTGAAATTCACAGACACCTGTGGGATGCCATCTGTATCCTTGTACCTTACATCTAACCCACTGCAGCATTTCTGGAGTCTTACCCACCTCTCTCTAGAAATGAGCTCTTTCCCTCTTTATGCTGCCTCTCCCCTGGGATGCGTCCCTGTGGCGTGGGCATCTTCTGATCCTTGCACACATTGGGCCATGCTTCATGGCCTTTAGTTCAGCCTCCCTGTGACAGCAGCTCGCTTTGCCCAGTCTTGCTTTCACAGTAGTGGGCAGTGGTCTGGCATGATCAATATGTGCACTGATTTACTTCCCCCTCTTCTAGAATGTCAGCACATTGATAGGAGGGGCCCCTTGAGCACACTGCCATGTCCCTAATGCCTGAACTCCACCCAGTACAGACTTAGAGAGGTCACCCAATACAGATGCGAGAAAAACACACTCAGTTATGTGTCTTGAAAACCCCTATGCTTAAATCCTAAATCTGCTTGCTGCCCTCAGACAATGAATTCTTTCACATTTTGCTCTACTGCTGTAAAGAGGGCAGATCCAGGAGTCATACTGTCAGGGTTTGAATCCCAGGTTCAGTATATTTGTGAGTGTGGGGGCTTATGTGAGCACACAGGCATACGTACACACACGGGATCCTAAACTTTGGTGTTCTCAAGGAGAAAGAGAAGCAGTTTTTTTTATAAACCAAATAAGAAAACTCAATGAATGAAGAACATAGTACGTTTGGCTCCTAAGTAAACTTAAATAAATGCAAATTACTGTTCTTAAAGTATAATTTCCTTTGTATCATTCTACAAGTGTTTATAAGAGTAGAATTTAGGGCCCGGCGCAGTGGCGCAAGTGGTTAAAGGTCCTCGCCTTGCACGCCCGGGAGCCCATATGGGCGCCGGTTCTAATCCCGGCAGCCCTGCTTCCCTTCCAGCTCCCTGCCTGTGGCCTGGGAAAGCAGTCGAGGACGGCCCAAAGCTTTGGGAACCTGCACCCGCGTGGGAGACCCAGAAGAGGCTCCTGGCTTCGGATCGGCATAGTATCGGCCCGTTGCGCTCACTTGGGGAGTGAGTCATCGGATGGAAGATCTTCCTCTCTGTCTCTCCTCTCTATATATCCGCCTTTCCAATGAAAAAATAATAAAAATAAATCTTAAAAAAAAAAAGTAGAATTTAGATACTTTCCAACTAGGATGTTAAAATTTTAGAGTACATTTCAATGGCGGTTTAAAATTCTAAAGAAAACTTCCTACCTTCAGACAGATGCCCAAGGACCACAGCTGATGTGATTGTAGCAATGTGCTATAACCCAGGTCAACAGGGACAAGCCAGGGACTAAATGAGTACCAGAATACATAAAATATGAACCATTTATAACTTTGAGTCATCATGTGAGTCAAAGACTTTATCTTTTCTAACATTTTAAGTAACTTTTCTTGGACACAAAAACAGATAAATTCATTTTTAAAAAATTATCCATATTTCATAGGGCCAAGAAGCTCATTTTCTAGAGTGCTTTATGCCGGGCTTATAAGACTGAATCTTAACAGCTCTTTATTCTTGCCTTCCTTTCCATTTATCTCTTGTCACAGATACCCAACAGCTAGTTGGCTGACTAAGTAGTTTCAGTGTATGTTGCAGAAAACTGCACTGGGAAAATGCCATTAAATCTGCAAAAGCGTTAGCAAGAACTGTTGTGGTTTACAGAGTCGGGGTGGACATCCCCACAGCAAGCAGCTCATCCAGAGCCTTTCAAGCACACAAAGACACTGGCAGCTCAGAAGATTCTAGAGAGGACCTACAGGCAATAAAATGAAGTGAAACGCGAACAGTGTTTTGTGGCAACCCGCGTTGGACTTGAAAACTGGTTTCAGAAGTAGGGAAGTATCTTTTTTTAATCATATGAAAATTTTATCTATCTTATCTTGCAATTGACTTTTAAAGTTCTTTTGAATGCTTCTAGCACTAGTTCTCTTATACCACTACAACATCACATGTCCTTTTACCTTGTATTACATCCATATTTGCTATTATATTAAGAATACCATAATATAGCAGGGACTGTGTGTTGGCTATATTTGTGTCTACTCCAAAATGCACTTATTATAAACTAAATGAAGGTTGGCTAGATGAACTTGATAGAATGTTCTAAAATGTGAAGTTAATGGCCCCGTGTGGTAGCCTAGCAGCTAAAGTCCTCGTCTTGAACGCATCAGGATCTCATATGGGCGCCGGTTCTAATCCTGGAAGCTCTACTTCCCATCCAGCTCCCTGTTTGTGGCCTGGGAAAGCAGTTGAGGACAGCCCAAAGATTTGGGACCCTGCACCCGTGGGGGAGACCTGGAAGAAGTTCCTGGTTCCCAACTTCGGATCGGCGCAGCACCGGCCGTTGCGGTCATTTGGGGAGTGAATCATTGGACGGAAGATCTTCCTCTCTTTCTCCTCCTCTCTGTATATCTGACTTTGCAATAAAAATAAATAAATCTTTAAAAAAAATGTGAAGCTGATCTCATTTAACATTGTGGTATAGGAACACTATACTCAAAAATTCACCATTTTTCTAAGAATTCAGCAAGCAAATAAAGGATTTTTTAAGGTATGCTATCTGAAGTTGGAGATGGGAACAGATCTGATCAGCATCAGCAAACAATTTCATTTATCTGAAAGGCAGGAACATCCACTACTCTGAAATGGCTGAAATGCTCAGGCAGCCAGGTCTATGTTAGGCCAAAGTCTGTCTCTCTCTACACCCCCTAACTGTCTTTCATGTACACAATAAATAAAATCTTTAAAAAAATTTAACTGTTTAAACTACCCATGTATGATTTATGGTTTAACTTTGATTGAAAAGGCATTTCAATTGCAAGTATGTCCTCATACTTTATTTACTTGAGAAGGATAAAAATAGTTGGATAGTTACTATTTTAAATAAATCCAAGTTAATGTAGCTGAAACACTTTAAAGGAACAACTGTTGACATTAGACACGCTTGATGCGTGCCTAAGTGTCAGAACTGTTGGATTTATTTGTAAAGTTTTCCAGAAGAAATGAGGTTTGAATTCTAACACCATGACACTTAGTGCTCTGGAAAGCTTGTTCATGCTGCTGTCCTCTGACCTCCAGGCCACTGGACCATTGACGCTCATTTACCCTGCACCACTCCTTACCTTCAATAAACACCTCTGCGGAAGTACTGTCTGAGCCACTAGCGTTCGTGGCCAGGCAGGTGTAGCGACCTGTGTCGTCCTCGAAGGCCTCTGCTATAGTCAGGGTATGGAGGTCTCCGCCCTCACAGTGGATTTGAATATCTGGAGAGTTGTGTAGCTCCTTATCCTCACAGAACCACCTGCAGGCCAACAGAGGTCAAAGGACAGAAGTGAAAAAACAGAAGTGGTCAGATGCAAAACCACTGTGCAAACCAGAAAGCATGGATGCCATGCAATAAGTGCTTGTTTGATTAAAGAAGAAAACATGTGTGTCTACATTACTGATGGGATTTGTTACAAGCCATCATGTAACATTTGACCAACCTTGAAATGAGAGATCATCATGCTGAAAAGATCACATCAAAGTTTTTCACAAAGTTTTTATAATAAATGCCTCTTATATTTTTGCCATATTTTTAATTTTATTTTTATTTATTTTTAAATTTTATAATATGGTCAGTTATTACAGTTTTATCATTCTTATCTAAAATTATAAAATATAAATGCTATAGTCAAAACATCTAACATATTAAAAGAAACACCATGTTAAAAATAATAGGCAGCAATTTTATTGACCCCTAAGACTTTGTATCAGCTGAACTGTAACCAATCTAATACCTTTCACATTTTGACATTTACAAAACCTTCTGGCTGACTGCCTTGGCCTCCAAGCTGTAGAGATAACACAGTTGTACTGTAATTCACTCACAATGGGCAGAATTTTTCCTTTCTTAAACAATCAAGACTTTGGAATGGGAGGCCACAGGCTGCCAGACTACGGTTTTTATTGTTGTTTTGTTTTAGAAAGTGAGGCAGATAAAAAAAGAGCTAACTAGCTCCCATCTGCAGTTGCATTCCTCAAATGTTCTAATGGCAGACACCGGGCTGGGGACAAAGCTAAAAGCCAACAACTTAAGCCAGGTCTCCCCTGTGGGCAGCTGGAACCCAACGACTTGAGTCCTCACCACTGTACCCCCAGAGTCTGCCTTGGCAGTAGTTGGGATCAGAAGCTCAAAGCCAGTCACTCCAAGGTGGGCCACGCTACGTGGACGTCCAAATCACTGGGTCTTAACACTGGTTCCCTTCCCCAAATATCTTTTGTACATCAACCCCGCAATAGCATGTGGATGTTTTATGTCTTATAAAACACAACCAAGAGCATAAAAAAGTCCCAGACTAGATTGTTTTTAAAGAAAAATGAAGGAATGTGCCACTTGTAGTTCAAAGGATTGAAGTCTAAGACCATAGCCTATCTAGCTTATAATTAACACTTGGAAGATTTTATCTGAGTTTCATTTATAATACCATTCTTTGGAATGAGTATCCTTTTATGAAAATATGACACGAAGATTTTCTGTTTAGAGTAGCATAGTCTAGATATCTGTGCCTAATTTGAAAATTAATTTAGATGCCCATATAGTGGCACAGTGTCAGCAACCTATATGAGCACTGGCTCAAAAGCTGGCTGTTTTACTTCTGCTCCATCTCCCTCCTAATGCATCTGAGCAAGCACAGGAAGATGGCCCAAGGACTCGGGTCCCTGCATTCAGGGAGGGGTGAAGTTCCAGGTCCCTGGCTTTGTGTTGTGGCCATTTGGGAAGCAAATCAGCAGATGAAAGATTTCTCGGTCTCATTTCTATCTGCAGCTGTGCTTTTCAAATGTATAAATACATCTTTTAAAAAGAAAAGTAATTCAATGAAGCAAATGAGTTTGCATATAGAGCATTAACTCTTGAAATAATATTAAGAATTAAACATGAGATATTCTTGGAAAAAAAAGATCCAAGTTTTAGGATTAAAGCACATAAATTTCTCAGCCAACAGAGCATTCCACCATCTGTGTTGGGGCCAGTAGAGGAGGCCAGTGTCACTTGATTCGGGGGTCCTTTAGCTTTTCCTTGTTTTCAGGCAGATTTGGAATACTGTCTGGTCCAAAGCCACTGTCCAGTCCCTTTTGTGTGGTCTCTTTCCATAGTTACAGCCCAGTTTGCACTCTAACTGTGGCTTCACAGTTTCAACTGATCTCTCCACTTATAAGCTATAAAGTCTTTATGCATTTTGTCATCAGATTAATACTCTTGAAAATTTTTCCTACATACCCCATTCATTCCCCAACCTTCAGATCTGTCATGGAGGCCTTGCATGTAATGTGTTTCTGACCCGATTTTCTACCATTTTCCTATACTGGATCTCTACTTCTGTCACATACTAGCCTGGACTGTTTTCCATTAGTTCTCAATTAATGTTTGAGAATTTACTTTGTGCATTTCCCTCCTTGGAATCCTGTTCTATTCTTCTTAAGTAACCCCTGTAGGAACGACTTTTCCTTAATGCCAAGGAAAAAGCTTCACTATCACATGAAATTCAAGTGAATAAATCCTGGGCTGATAAATATCACTTATATGCAATGTGTTGCACTATACACTACAGGCTATGAGTAAAGAATAAAGTCTGGTAAACTCAAACTAGTTGAGTTTGCACTGCCAACTAGAGTATTTTTACTTTCCATAGAAAAGAAACAAAAGAAGAGCTGGTGTGGTGGCAAATCAGATTATTTCTCTGCCTGCAGTGCCCGCATTACACATGGCCACCAGTTTGAGTCCAAGCTGCTCCCCTTTCCAATCCAGCTCCATACTATGGACTGGGAAAGCTGCACAAGAGGGCCTGAGGACCTGAACCTCTGCACCCATGTGGGACAACAACAACAAGCTCCTGGCTCCCAGCTTCAGTCTGCTCAGCTCTGCCCATTAAAATTATTTGAGCCAGCTAATGGGAGATTTCTCTCTCTCTCATGACTTTGAAGTAAAAATAAATACATCTTTTAAACTATTTTAAAAAGAAACAAATGCACAATTAAAGGGGAAATGAAGCATGGCAAATTGCAATGGGGATATTAAAATGGAAAGATTCATTTCTTTTATTAAATGCATTTCTTGGGCAACCTTTGGTAACTGCCTAAGGAGTGTAAGACCTCCTCTAACTCTGCAAACCAACATTTACTAGTCTACAGCTTGTTTTTATTGCAAGTGAAGAACTATTTTTATGCTTTTAAGTATTTGGAGAAAAAAAAAACAAAAAAAAATATTTTTGACATAGAAAGTTCCATGGATTTCAGAACCTCACAAATAAAGGTTTTCCAGAATCATGCTCATTCCTTAACATATGGCCCATGACTTTACTGCGTTTCTTTCTTTTCAAAGATTTGTTCATTTTATTTGAAAGTCAGAATTGCAGGGAGAAAGAGAGAGTGAGACAGATCTTCCATTCACTGGTTCATTGCCCAGAAGGTCACAAAGGTCTGAGGCTGGGCCAGGCCAAAGCAGGGAGCCAGGGGCTTGTCTCAGGTCTCCCATGTGGGTGCAGGAGTCAAGGACTGGGGACATTTTCTGCTGCTTCCCAGGCACATTAGCACAGAGGGGGAGTCAATGGAGTGGCTAGGACTTGAACTGGTACATGTTTGGGAGGTTGATGCCACAGGTGGCTCACAGACCCACCTGCCTCACTTCATATCCAGTTCCCTGCTAGTGTGCCTAGGAAGCCCCTGCCTCACATGCGAGACTGGGAAGCTGTTCAAGGTTCCTGGCTTGGGTTTGACTCAGCCCTGGCCATTGCAGATAGTTGGGAAGTGACCAATGGACAGAAGATTCTCTCTCTGACTCTCTCGGTCTTTCCCTCTAACTCTGCCTTTCAAATAAATAATAATCAATACTTTTTAAAGCATTGGCCTAATATGTCCTGCACTATTCTGACCTGCATTATAGAATCCTAAGTGGGTTCCACCATCCAGGTTAGTCACTTTAACAAAGCCATCTTACTTGGTGTGTTTTGCATCTCTGGTCCCTTGACTTGAGTGTATAAAAACTTGTAATTTTTAAATTTATTTCTCAGTGTGCTCAAAATATTTTGTTATCACTTATTTGACAATTGATCTTCAGTCACTTTCATATAGACTATGTGTTGTTTTCTTAAATATTTGATGTTTAATGCATAATTTCATCATTTAGAAAAATCAAATGTGGCTTTATGGCTAAAAAAAAAAGAGCATCTAAATTTTTTTTTCAATGAGCCATAGTATGTCTCACATGTTTGATGCTTGAAAACTACTTAATATCTGCCTCGTATTACTTTAGAATATGTTCCACTCAAGAAAAAAAAATGAACAGTGAGAGGAACTGTGGCCTACCAGGCCTGGAAAATGCTAGATTTTAAATCTTACTCTTCAAGGTTAACTATTGACATTTTCTTATTAAGGCCCCCAACAAGTCCTGCAGGAAGTGTTGTCTAACCCAGCATTTATTAATCTGGCTATGAGAATCCTTCTTTTGACATGCTAACATCACACACATATGACACAAAATGTCTTCCTAGAGTGTTTCTTCCAAAAAAGAAAAAGAGTCCTTAGGAAGTTCATGGAAAATGTGTGTTCTGGAAAAAATACATGAATGGGTTTCAAAATTTTTTGCACTAAAAATTACTTTTCCTTTCATTTGCCACAAACTTTCTGAAGTACCCTTATGCCTTCAGAATGAATTAAAATCAACCCTGAACTGAGCAGTAGTAATAAGGTTATTGCTGGAGACAGCAATCAGTAAACACAACAAAACACTGGACACCAGAAGAAAAGATATAGGCAGCAAATACATTAGCAGCCTGGTCTTACTAACTTATTCACTCAGGTTACAGCAAAAGGTTTATGGACTATGTCATTCACGTCTTCTTAATTTCTGATGCTCTGACCTCAGGGGATCCATTCAAGAGAGACAGCCTTGGACTCTCCCTGCAAACCAATCAATTTAGAATTCATACCTCCTACTACTTCTCCATTGGCCTTACAGCTCAAGATCACTTTTAATCTAATCTTCCCCAGGACTAGGTGCCAGAAGCCTAGGAATGGCTCCCATGCCTGGCAGTCTGCTGACATGATCCACATTCACCCAGCCTGCACCTGCTCACTCAGCCTCACCTACACCTTTCTGTAGAAACCATCATCAAGGCTCTGGTCACCATTTTCAGTTCCCTCCCTCTGCCTCTTCTCTAATCCTAGTTACCCCCTAAGGAACGTTGGGGGTCCACGTGTTCCTACTTCAGAGACCTAGAAGTGCAAACTGTCTTCCCAGATGATATTCATCTCCTAACCCAT